CAAGCTTCAGGGCAAGAGTTTAGAAAAAAGTGATCTTTTTGCACAAAGACCTCAACATAGTGGCGGAAATTTGCTTAATTATGAATGGTGATCTAGAAATATTACACAATCTTGAAATTTTTTCTTCATTTCACTTGATTTTTCATGTATTTAATTTTCCCCCCTGAGGTCCACTTACAACACTTTGTGATTTTATGGTAATTATTCATTTTTACTTAACAATTTTCCCACCTCTCTTGATCCCTTAGAATTAAATATGCTATTTTATTGCTGAGCCTTTAAGACTGATAAAAAATAAACAAGCCATGTTCTGATTGGCTACCCTGTATTGTATTTCATTTTAAAAGCATTTAGAACTTAAACACTGCTTAGAACTTTAGTGTGAATGGGTGGAGCTAAGCTACCATAAGCTGAATAGGTGAATATATGTAAATGTGTTGGTTCTCCTGACATCACAGAAATAACAAATTCAAAACATGCTGTTTTTGCAGGTTAGCTTCCATATATGGACTGTATGTGTTTGTGATGGTATGTTTTTAAAACTTCACTAATGTTTACACATTACTTCAAACTCTCATTAAAAAAAACAAGGGATATTCAGTTTTCCATGATACGGGCCATTTAAGCGTTTCCAAATTTTAAAAATGTCTGTTGTTTATTTGATGTTAAATGAGATAAATGAGTTTAAATGAAAAAAAAAAATCCCAGATTTCTCAAAAACAAATTATGGAATGTGAAACTTAAATGAATATGCCATGACAAGTTAACACTGTAAGTATGATATCTTTGAACTGTGCTGTTAGAGTATTGGGTAACACTTTATAATAAGGGTACATGAACTGGCAGTAATTAAGGCATTTACTAATGAATAACTAATCAGAAAATAATGAGTCATTAATCAGGAACAAATGAATGTCATATTAACAAGCACAAGACTAAATTACTAACGCAAGTACTAATGAATGAAGATGAAGGTAATAAAGGCTCTATTCAGTGCCTGAATTTATTAGGAATTCATGTGTTAATTAAGCATACAAAAAGAATGTTAGTACACATTGGCGAACTGCTAGAAGCTCTGTTAGTTTCATTCTATTCATGCAATTTATGATTACCTATGTCTTACTGCAATGTCATACTGTTACAACAGAAACATAAACTGTTACAACTGTTATGTTGCTACTATATAGGTATAATAAACTGTAAACTAGTTTATTTACTGAAAATATGCATTTGATTTAATTAAAACTGTGAATTATCTTAATATATGCCACAGTTATTCTGAGAAATACCACCTTCAGAAAATGAAAATGTGTTTCCCATTATACAGCTATTATTCTTTTTAAAAATTTGCCATATCTAAATGTTTTATTAATGGAAACACAGCATTTTGCAATGTAACACTTCAACTGTTTCCGCAGCTGGAAATTACTGCTATTTTTCTTGGCCAGTAAATGGCAGTAATTGCGTTAAATGCTATATGTCAAGCGGCCATAGAGTCTTGAGTGAATATCTCTAGTACAACGTTTAAGAGCAGCGAGTGAAAATAAATAATTGAAATAATAAAAAATCAATATTTCTCTTTTTGCCTTTTTGCAATATTTCGCATTTTTCTTACTTTTAAAGGTGAGTTATGCATATGCATACTGTATTATATACATAATTTACATCGCAGATATAATATTTACACATGGTATTGTTGTCTGAGTGCTGTGAGTGCTAGTATGTATGCTCACCTCTTTTTAGACTAAGGTGTAAAACATGCAGCTGTTATCTGTGGTGAAACAGAACTGATTTGCAGGAACTATTATTTCTAAATTTGTTATAAAGTAGCTTAAATATTTGGTTTGGTGCTTAGTTATTTGGAATAAACCTTTTTGGTTTTAATAGTAAGGTGTTTGTGTTTCTCACGAGCGTCGTGTGATTGTAGTAGTAAAATGTGGCGTCAGGCGCGTCTATTCTAAAATCTGGTTAAAATCACGTTAATTTTATGCTGCTTGGTTCATTTGTTATTCGTCCTTTGACAGGGACACTTATTGTGAAGGGCTATGTGTGCGGTGGCAGTGCTTCACAGGGCTCAGTAGTAAACAGACTGAGCCGAGGCGCTAACTGCGCTTAGCCGAGCGCTAACCTAGCGCCATATTCTCCCCTTTCTTTTGTACTCCGTTCTGAGTTTTTCAGTAAAGCTGAGTCACAGACTTGATCTTCAGCTTGTGTGAGTCATTTGGAAACACCGCTGCAGTATGAATATCTTTGTGACTCTAATTAGCCAGCAGTTCTGTCCGTTTTACAGATGTTGCTACAGAACCAGTATGTATTGGTTTCTCTTCATCTTCCGTGTTACAGTGACATATTCACGTGCCGTGGTTCTGTGTATTGTGTAGAAGTCATAAGATGATAATAAAATATGCTTTTTTATTCCTGTGAATTTTGTCAATGTCATGTTTTCATATGAGCCATATTGTAGCTACTTATCCTTCATCACTGTTCTTGAGAGGGCAAAAGAATGACCGTCAGTTTGGTAAGTAAAATTATTAACCCCCTCTATTTTATTAGCTCATGAACTCATAAAGAATTAGTATATAATCAGTGATAAATTGTGATTCGATCATCACTTTCAGGGGCACAAACATGAATTCATCATGAAGAATCAGTATTTAATGAGTAATAAAGTGTGACTGGTTCATCACTTTACTTTAGGGAGCACAAACATTATGAATTCATCATGAGTTATCAGTAATCACTGCTTTCTTTATAGTGAATTGAGAATTGACACTGCATAGTTTTGTATTTTTCTCACTCTGACACACCTCAACCAGCACAACAGGAGCTTGTAAATTAGCAGTTGACTTCAATCAGGTGTACTAGATCTGGGAAAGCACAAACATGTGCATACAATTACGGATTCTTATGACCCCAAGAGAAAGACACTCCAATAATCAACTCATTTCTGAGTTCAGTGGTAACTGTAGGCTAAACTATTCCCTCATGAGGCTCTGTGTATCAATACAGGAGTTAAAACGTCATATTACTAACATGAAAGATGAATTAAAACTATGGCAACTGTCACGAATGAGGACTAGTTGCAAAACAATGTCAGTGTAAGCTTTTAATTTTACTAAACAGTCACTAGGTGGGTAGAAACAGACGAGGTAACATAAGAAATCAAAAACAATAAACTCAAGACCTGACAGATAGAAACAGGCAAATACAAGGGCTGCTTACACAACATGATGAAGAAGAAGGACAAGATGATCAGAGGATGGAGCTATATAAAAAAAAAGTTGACTTTTATAGGCATAATATTCCAGAGCACTGTGTCTCAGGGGGATCTTGTAACAACATTAATTAACACATGAATTCCTAATAAATTCAGGCACTGAATAAAGCCTTTATTACCTTCATCTTCATTCATTAGTACATGCGTTAGTAATTTAGTCTTGTGCTTGTTAATATATGACTTTATATTCATTTGTTCCTGATTAATGTCTCATTACTTTCTGATTAGTTATTCATTAGTAAATGCCTTAATTAAAAGTTAGTTGAAGGTGCTAATAAAAACATCACGCCATAAACTGAACCACAGAGGAGGTTTACAAAAAACTGTGATGCAGGCTCATAAAAATGCAAAGCTCAACAATTGTCTAAAAAGGCCTGAGAAACCAAAGCAAACATTCATAATGTGATGTTGGTTAAAACAAACAGAATACAGATTACAGGCAAAGACAATGTCAATTAATGATAAACAGGCTCGCCAAGACGAGGTAGTGTCCTCATGATATTTTTACAGCAGACTACTGTTTTGGACAATGCCTCCACCAAAGGAAAGAGCTTAGTCCCATTTAGTGGCACTCAGCCCAGCCTGGCTCACACCTCACCTCTTTGGCAGAATCATATCTATTTCTGCAATAATCCATCCACAATTTTCATTTTTATGGAAAATAACCGTGGAAACATTACTGATGGTGACTCGGGGTCACTGCATCTCGCTGAGCACAATGTAGCTTTTTAAATTATTCTGCACTACAGAATTGTTAAACATTTCATTCATGAATAATGAGCGGTGTGCTGGTTTTCTTGACTGACTGATCCACCAGCTAAAACCTTAACTCCACTCCAGTAATGACTTACAGCTAACAGTATTATTCTTTGAGCTATCGGCTGCAGTGCTACTGGTGGGCTGTCACTGTGGGTTTAATCAGCAGGCTGCATTGTGGAAAAGGCACAGAAGTGTTACTCTGCTTTGAACTCAAACGTGGCAAACCATTTGCCGTGTCTTTAATCTCTCTTTCTCTCTCTCTCCTCTTCCTAGCAGAGTTGACCACAAGAGTATGACATCACTTGTGTTCCTTCATAATCAATTCATCATCCCTCCACAACTCTCTCTTCCATTCTCTGTCTTGCAGCTGCAGATATCACAATTCTTTGTTCACAGCCACAACATTGTTAGACCAGCTAGTTAAAAAAATCCAGCTCAGAAATGTAACAGCTCACCAACACAGACAAAAATAAAGGTGCTAAAAAGGGTTCTTTGGAGCAATACCATGAAAGAATCCATTCTGGTTCTGTAATAAAGCTATGTATGTAATGTATGTAATTTAATACCCTTTATGGATTTAAATTCTTAAAAATAAAAGTTCTTTGTGCAATGCCACAGCAGAACCAATTTTGCTTCCTTGAAGAACCTTCCAATGACTGCAAATACCACATAATGTAGAAACTCTAGGAAAACCCCTCAAATTAGCAAAGAACCTTTGCATTATGTGCAGGTTATTTAAATCTTTAAAAACCTCTATTACACACATGGTTCTTTAGAGAACCAAAAGTGGTTCTTCCACAGCATAACTCTTTTGTGGCACCTTTTTAAGAGTATATAACCATCACCTTTACTAAAGAATCCTCAAAGAAGAATCCTTAGAAAACCATCCAAGCATCAGTAAAACAGGCCTATAGTTCTAATAAAATACTCACGATAAATATATATATATAACAATGCAACTCACATAGTCATGGAAAGCTTTGGCCTCGCTTGAATGCTCACATGTTTCTCTTCTCTCCGGAGCCGCACAGTAGAGATCCCAGAAAACACTGCAAAAAGAGAGAGTTTTCACAATCCAAGGTAACCTCTGCATTAATTAACAATCCATGCTTCTTCAGGCATCAGAGCAGGTTCATTTTGCTGGATGGGAGCAGCTTACCACCACCAAGAGTGGAGGAACCCAGGTGGCTCGCCCAGCGTGATGTTCTTCTCCCATCGGATCTGCCAGGTCAGACATAGACAGAACACTAGAATGAGTGATTAGGGTTCTGCCGAAGCAGTAAAACCAAGCTGCTTTGGTGAGTCATACATACTGGACTTAATTAATAGCAGAGCATCATAAGGGCTGCATTATATGGACAAAACATGACGTGATGTTTTGTAATAAGTCTTGCAATTGATTAAACATGATAAAGAGCCCTTTACGTGACGTTATCAAAGATTGGCCTACATTACTTTTTGGCCAAATTTTTTGTGTTTGTTGGATCATATAGACGTAAAGATTCATCCAAACACGTTAATACCATCTGATTGGAAGTTCACACCACACAATAAAACATTTTTTGATTGGTTAGAGCCTTATTTGCATAATGCATACTTCTGCAATGTTAACACTATAGGTCGAAATTGTAGTAACAATTAACAAACAATATATTGTGCAGCCCTAAACTGGACTGGAGGCTGTATTTGATCCACAAACAGACACAAACATGTTGATATGAATGTAGAGCATGTACTACCTGTAAACTCTATCCAGTGTGCATACTACCACATTTCAACTATAATCTTTGCTTCTATCTTTAGCATGGTGCTCTCTTGATGATATTTCAAATGTCTTATTAAAGACTGTAAACACACATAAGGTAGGTGACATTTCAATTATCATTAGCACTATTACTGCACGACCATGCAATTCAGTTGCAAATAAATAGGACCAATCATAAAGTATCAAATCTTTGAAACAAATAAAATGTCAGCAGTAGTATACCACATGCCAAATATGTTATATTATACAACATACACTAGGAGTCACTTGGTCGTAATAATAATTGCTATTATTTTATTCAGTAAGAACATATACAGTGTGGACTGAAATACTACAAGCTAGATACCAGAATGCATGTTGATGATTTATTCAATATTTTATATTTTCTTCAATATTTCAATTATTATATTGCTGCTGTCGTTTTTCAGTTTTTGTCATAATTTGAAAATGCCTCTTGCCCTTTACTTACTGTGTTAATTTCACGATGAATGGACCAAAGAAATGGCCCAAATTACTTGGGGAAAAAAAGTCTGGTTGCATTGACTTACATTAAAAGTAAAGTATGTTTTTTCCTTTTCCTGTAAAGTTACCATTTTGGAGATACGAGTTTTTGTTCTGACAGCAGTGATATGTTAAATAATGTACTGTAACTATCTACAGCTCTGTTCATCATTCTAGAACCATCTAACATTTCATTATTTTTTTAAAGCTTCCTAAAAATTTGTTAAACCTATGAATTATCGTAATATAATAATTGTATACACATATCTTTAAGACTTTGGTTATATATTCTTGTAAAAAGAATACAAACTTATGAATGGTAGTGAATAACTACACAATGTTTATATTATATAGTGTATGCATAATATATTAGTACATACAGTATATGCAGTTATATATATATATATATATATTCAACTATAAAAACAATGTGTAATATAAGAAGTTTCTTTTAATTAATTAAGAATTTTAGGTAGTTATATTAAAGAGTTATCATGCAAATTACATATTAATCACTGCTAATAATTTTAACCAAGTAATTGTGACAGTCCTGTATGATGCACTGACAACTAATATGGAACCAACAAATATCCAGTTACCAAGGCAGTGCTGTCTCTTCACGACAACTGCATTTATATTAACCGCACAAGCTGCAGACCACACAACAGCATCCAGCACCACACTCTCCTAGAGTGAGATCACTGGATGAGCTGGCGGGCTGTGCATTCTCTCCACACAATGATCTTAACCGCTGCCATAAAGCAGGTGGGTGTGCCGAGAGCCCCTGTTATCTAACGTCATTGTTTGTGCGCGGCTGTGTCGCCACTGCAGAGATAGAGACGGGTTATTTTGGGCTCCGGTGCTGCGTGGCCTGGCTGCAATGGCCAGGGTGGCAAAAGACATGAGTCGCAAAGGAAGCAGCACACAATAGCAGGGAATGTCTTAGGATTGTCTTGTTTGTGTCTGAGTCACAATATGGCATGGCTAGCTCAGTCGTGGCTGTGTCTGCAGAGTGATCTTGTTTTCCTCTCTTTCACTACAGCAGCCTTGCTCTCTTTTATTTGAACTTTCCTCTATACTGTGCATCTCTTTACATAGATTCGCAATGTACTAAAATGTGATACTTCCAGAGGTGTCACAATATTGGTGAGGAAGAAAAAAAATCAATACAGTGTACAAACCCAATTCCAAAAATGTTGGGAGTGATTTGTAAACTGTGTCTTGTTAACTGGTATTTAATTGAAAACAGTGTAAAGGAAAAAACATTTAATATTTTACCTTATCATCTCTTTTGAACACTGACAGGCTTCTGTAATGAATACAACCACAAGAGCTTGGGAATACTTTGCACAACTTTTATAAACACCAATAAACACCAGTCACTGCATTCACAAATGCAAGTTTAGACTGTACTTTGCAAAGCAGAAGCAATTTATCAACAACATTCAGAAATGCTGCCGATTTCTCTGGGTTAAGCACATCTGAGATGGATTGACACAGAGTGCAAAATGTGCTGTGGTTTGAGGAGTCCACCTTTCAGATTGTTTTTGGAAATAATGGGCTTGGTGTTCTCCAGGCTGAAGAGGAAAATGACCATCTGTCTGACAAACATATATTTTGCGAGGGAATGCAAAACATTTGCGAGGGTATGCAAACCATTTGCGAGGGAACGCATTTTTTTTTGCAAGGGAATGCAAAACATTTGCGAGGGAACGTTTTTTTTTTGCGAGGGAATGCAAAACATTTGCGAGGGAGCGCATTTTTTGTGAGGGAATGCAAAACATGTCATCTCACAATACTTTGGGTATCACAAATCTTCAAAACATCGTAATACAATCAAACGTACATTTTCGTATTTCTCTTAAATGAGGTTGTGAGTCTGTACGCATTATAAATAAATTGTAAGGGTAGTATGTGCCCTCATTTTATGTTCCCAAAAGAGACCAAGAAAGTAAGATAAAAAATCACCCAAGGCACCTCAGCACCCAAAACCTTTTACACTTTGCGGGTATTTCAATTTGTCTAATGAGAGAATTGCTTGCTTGTGTTAATTATACTTTCACCAGACACACTGTTTTGGTAACTGGACCAGACACACTGTAACTGGACAAAAAATAAATAAATAAAATAAAATAAATAAAATTAACACTAAAATAATAACTAAAATGAAAAAGCTCACTTTCACTTCTGTATCAATAACATATTGTATTTTGCTGTAAACACCACAATACATATCATCTCATGAAATGTGTGTATTGTTACACCACGGATATGCCCTCTGTTTACCATGTCGGAGACCTGCTAGACAATATAAAGACTGCTATATCACCAGTTTTGTCTGAAACACAGCTTTTCCTGCTGTGTGTATTTAATGTGTCTCTTTCATAAACACAGCTCGAGTGGTTAGCATGCTTTTAAAGCTGAGTGGCTCTTTTAGCAGATCCTTCAAAGAAACAGTTATAATATTCCCTGCTGTCTGGTCTATTGTGACAGTGCTTACAATACAGAGCCTGTGTGCCAATTGTTCCTTGAAATAGACTTAATCCATAGTCTGAATCATCAAGATTATATCCAACCAGAGCCTGCTCAGCTGGCTACAATGTATGATTATGCCAGCAAGCGCTAGCAAGATGTAAGACATAAATCACTCTCTGACACCGGACTTGTCCTTGACAAAGTGTGAACATGAACACAAGCATATAGCGTCTCTCTCTCTCTCACTCTCTCTCTCTCTCCCTCTCTCTCTCTCCATTTCCAGTAAAGAGACACTAAATGTCCTGCCAGCTCAGCTCTGTGTCCAGAGTAATTCAATTAGCCGACAGCAGAGGGAAAGACACAGTCTCCCACAGGTCACACGCAGGTAAAGTTCTAAGTTGCTGCTGCACAAAATATTATTTGTTAATCCATTTTGTGATAATGGCCTTTACAGTACTGATACCACAGAAGGCTGCATTGTTGATGCAAACAAAAAACACTAACAAATCACAATATGCAGATGTATGTGCATATGGCAATAAAGAATCTGAATCTGAGTGTCCAACAAATACAATTCATTTTGGTCAAAATACCGCCAGACAATTGTTAATCATGAAGGGGTCTTAAAATGTTTTAGTATGTTTAAAGGTAGATTTGAACAGCTATATATATATATATATATATATATATATATATATATATATATATATATATATATATATATATATAGATAGATAGATAGATAGATAGATAGAAAATTAATTTCCATCGAGACTTAGGCTTAATCTGATTATGGGAGAGTAGCCCTTCATGTCCAAAAGTATCCAGACACTCCTTCTAATTAGTGAATTCAGCTACTTTAAGGTGCACCCATTGCTGACACCTGTTTCATTTGCACACACACTGTATACTCTCTGTTGAAAAGCACTGACTAATACAATGGGACACTCTGGAGCAGCCACACATAAGCCTAAGGTCACCATGCCTAATGCCAAGCATCATCTAAAGGGGTATAAAGCCCCCCAACACTGGGCTGCGACGCAGCGGAACTGTGTTCTCTGGAGTAATGGAGCTCCATCCAATGCCTTTGAGATGAGCTGGAGTCCAGAAATTATCATCCAATATCAGGACCTGACCTCACTAATGCTCTTATTTCTGAATACAATCAAATCATCACAGCAACATTCCAACATCTAGTATAATAATGGCCTTGATTTCAGAAGAAATGTTGGAATGGGCAGGTGTCAACGAACCTTTGGACCTTTTTAGTGTATTAGGAAAAAGCAATAATAATGTAGAACGTACATAATTTACAAGACTTATAAGCTACTTAAACAACACTGTGGGATGGCAATTATGTGCTTTAATGCAGGAGAATATTATGTGTGATACATCTTAAGGTAGTCCTTAATGGAATGTGGCAACTGTGTTAAACAGTACTCAGTTTGTCCATAAAGAAATAGCCCTTAAAATCTGCTGCTGTGTTCGTTTTTAGCTACCTACCTCTGAGAGGAAGGTCTGTGCTGATTTCTGAGCTCCAACATGAAGCAGATATTCGTAAACATAGAGGGCTAGCCTGCAGGAGAGAGAAGAAGAAAGAGAGAGAATAAATACAAGCATGATTTCACAGTAAAGCATCTAAAATTCACCCTGATTCAGGGATTTCATCAGCAGATTTTTTTTCTTCAAACAGCAGCAATCAGTTTGGCTGTTGGGCCTTTAGGAGATGCACACTCAATTACGCTTAGTTGCCCAGCCTGGACAACGTCTGTAAACCTTCCTTTTTCAGCCAAAGCTTTCTTTTGGAGTCCATTTGGAGTAAATGGAGAGCCATCATAAAAAGAAATGAAAGCATGCTCTGTCAAGAGCTCTTAGACTTTGACTGAAGAGTCTGTGAGAGAACTCTAATTCAAGTTTAACAACTACACTGAAATCAACTGATAAACAGAAGAGAGAGGGAGAGAGAGAGAGAGGTTCATTTAAAACAATGATGCCTTACGGTCTCTCACTCTCTCTTTTTTTTTGGTCTGTTTGATGTCTAAAGTTTGTAGATTTACACTGATAATGCAGCTAACAAATAATGGAAGATAACAGCCTGCAAATTAGCATAATGCAAACTGCATGTCCTTCACACCTTAGAATGATAAAACACCTTTGTTCAACCGTAGTTGCCAGATTTCAGATATTTTAAAGAATAGTTCAGTGAAATATATAGTGGATCAGCAGGAGCATGTTTTGTCTCCTTATTTTGCTCTTTTTTCCACTCGAGCCATGAGGCTAATGTTGCTAACATGTAATAGAAGCTGCATGTAAATCAATTAGGATTGTGCAAACTGCCTATATCATCACTCACCTGCCTCAAATTATATAGAGTTGTTAAGTAATCTCAGAATAGACTTGTTTACACTGAGGGGAAACAAGTATTCAGACACTTCTGTTTTTGTTATATAATACACTTCCAGTAGATATAGGCAGTGTCTATTTACACTAAGTGAAAATAGCATTGGCCACACAGTCTGGCTTTTTTTTTTTGCATTTATATGTTCCATGAACAAAAAGTGGGAGAAGCTGTGTTCAACAGAGACTAGAAAATTAGTGCTATTTTCCATTCACTACTGAGTAAATACTTTATGTAAAGCATCAGTCTAACAGTAACAATTGCTAAAGATTAAGCAGTCTTATCTAGGACAGTAGATCCTGATTGCTGCTGCGTTAGAGACTGGGATTTTGGTAGTGCAATTTGGCAATTTTTACAATTTTAATTCAAGAGAGTTTAAGTCAAGGGGGTATGTTTAGTTTCTCACATTTCTAAATGATTATGCACTGTCCATTATCACTGTCTTAAATGAAGAAAATACCCCTTCAGATCAAGTTAAGCTGTTGCAATTAAATGTCTAATTAAAAAAAAAAAGACATAAGCATGTGCAGATGTAAGCAATAGCAATAACAGCTTAGTACAAATCAAACAGGGACAGTAACCCCATGATGAGAGAGAGAGAGAGAGAGAGAGAGAGAGAGTTGTTGGTAAGAATGACCTCAAGTACAGCTTTGAAAAAAGCAGAATAATCATACAAATGTAAATAGCAAACATCTTTCTATTTACACTTAGTGTAAACGGCATCTGCCATGGTGTATCATCTTCAAATTTCCACATATAATGTCTTTTGACTTTGCCAAAAAAATATGTATTGAGTGTAAACAAAGATTTGTCTAAATTCATAGGGAAAAAAAAATCAGACACCTCAAATGAATAACATTAGTACTTTGTTGCCAAACCACTGTTGGCAATTACAGCATAGAGATGTCAACAGTAAGAAGTAATTAGATTTTTGAAGCAATGTGGTTCAGTTTTGGCCAGTTCCTCTTGGCAAACTGTCTTCAATTCCCCAAGGTTACAGTGGACTCACAGTTTCAAAATTCTCCATAAATTTTCTATGGGATTTAGGTCAGGAGTTTGGCTAGGCCAGCCAAGTACATTCACCTTCTTCTTTAGAAAACAGTCTTGAGTTATTTCTTGGCTGATAAGATTGAATTCTCCTCTAAAATGTACATCACTCCATTCATGTTTGCTTTGATGGTGTGTAATGCTCCAGTACCGTTTGCAAAGTAGCACTCCCATATCATGATGCTCCCACCTCCATATTTCACTGTGTGTGTGGTGTTCTTGTGTTCATACGCACAATTCTTCTTTCGTCAAACATGACAAGCTGAATTATTGCCAAACAGTTCTTTTTCTGGCCAGAGTACACTGTTCCCAAAGAGTTTCCATTTGTCTAAATGCTTATGTGCAAATTTTAGATGTGCATCTACGTGCTTCTTTTTTAGCAGAGCAGTTCTGTGTGGGATGTAGGAACGGAAATGATTGTGGTGCAGTTCATTGCTTATTATTCTCTGTGTAAGTGTTGTTCCCGCTGCTTTCAGGTCACCTAACTCTGTAGCTTTTTCCATTCAAGTGTGGTTTAATGACGTTGTCTCTAAGAACTTTAAGCTCCTTCACCTTCATCATGATTGCTATTGTTGTGTGGAATCATCTCTTATTATGACATCGGGAGCATTTTGCACGAAACCATTTTTAATACGGTGCCTGAATACTTCTTTCCCTGACAATTGTATTTTAAACACCTTTTTATGTTTATGAATACATACTGTTTGTTCATCTTTATGAGTACAGAATACAAAGACATTGGACATCATTCACCAACCATTCCCAAGAAGAACTTCATTCACCACTATCTTCCCAAGTTTTTTCTTAAATTTGTTCTTGTTGTAAAAAAAAGTCTATATCGGATTCATGACGTGTTCTTAAACCACAGACTTGCTCTCTACTTTGTGCTCTTGAGTGTGTGTAGATTCTGTTCTTACCTAAGAACAAATCCCACATAAGAAAACACTGGTGAAGGTCAGAATCTTCATTTTTTCCCTGTTTTTTTCTTAAGAACGGTTGGTGAATGAGGCCCTTTCTTCTTAAAACTCACACAGTTTTCACAAAGACTCGGACACATCATGAATCTGATGCAGACTTTTTCTTAGAACCTTTCTCAAGAACAAATTCAAGAAAAACTTATGAGGATATTGGTAAATGAAGCCCATTGTGTGTGTGTGTGTAAATTTTAAGTGGATATATGCACTATAAGAATATTAAATAACAAGAACTGAAGTGTCCGAATACTTGTTTCGCCTTTACGGTGGTTTATCCGTAGTCCGAAGGACAATGCCTAGCTAAAAACAGCATATTGAAGCCTGAATTTTGTCCATTTTATATAACCTATGTAGCAAGAGTTTCCTCTCTTTATGTCTGCGTTCATGTGGTTGGAGATCTTGGCAACACCAACAGACACACAATGCTGGCAGAACACAGTAGCATCAGAGCTAATTTCCAACTTAAGATGGTAGTGCTCAAACCAAACTAATTGCCAGAATTATTAAGTTTATAAATTATTCTGCAATGGCTCATAATAAGCTGGTTCATGACTCATCTTCTCCCCAGGCAGGGCAACTTCTGCCTGGGGTTTATATGCACATTGTGTGCCGGCATGGTCTGCACACTGAGCCAAATTTACTGAAAATATTTCTCCGTAGACATGAAAGGAAGCTTTTGCTAGTATTTCAAATGCACAGGCTCTATTTCTCATTTCTGTAAGCATCTGCAAGATCCGGAGACTTTAAAAAGCCAAAAAAAAAAAAAATCATGAAATATAAAACAGGGCAAAAATAAATGTACCGGAACCAAAAGGAAGGAGTATTCACAGGAGGAGGCATTTCATGTGAGAGAGGATGGTGCAGAGGTTGGAATAATGATAGCGGGGTTTTATGGAAACCAAGATGAAAGACAGCCGGAGTTGAGGGAGGAGAACGGGCGGCTGGAAAGAAGATGGGGGGGGTCGCAGGCAGAACTCAACAATTAATACTCCCGAGATTCTGTCAAACCTTTAAACTCGAGCAGAGAGGAGTCTAGCAGGAGGGAGAGAGAGAGAGAGGGAGAGAGAGAGAGAGAGAGAGAGACAGAGAGAGAGAAACTTCCCTGCTGAACAAAAGCCAAAGGCTATGGAGCGGAACAGGCGAGGAAGCTAGACTGCCTTTAATGTAAGACAAGATAAACATTTCAGAATCACTGGACCATAAAATAAAAAAGGAAGAGAGGTGCACAGAAATACTATAATGCACAATAACTCACCACATAACAGCATTTAGATGAGAAATATACTCTCAAGTGGAAAGGTGTAGGAAAATCATTGAATTTGTTGTCTGTGTTATAAAGAATGGAAGACTATGAGACTATGAATTAAGACCTCAGTGATGCGTGAATTTCCTTTACACAAATGTTAGAGTGCACAATTTGTTTTTACTCCAGATATAGATGCGTTTAGTGTTAAATATTAGCTTCTTTAGTTTTGTACTTGAGCTAAGAGGCTAATTTAATAACACTGGGCCTCATTCACTAATCATTCTTCAGAAGAAATTTCTTCTTAAAGCCCACTTACGCAGTTTTCAAGAAGATTCTGACCTTCGCCAGTGTTTTCTTATTTGAGATTTGTTCTTAGGTAAGAACAGAATCTACATAAATTCAGACAAAGGTGTGCACAGGTGTGTGGTTAAAAAACGTCATGAAACTGATGTAGCTTTTTTTTTTAGGATGTTTCTCAAGTATGCATTTAAGAAAAAACATAAGTAGATATTGGCCCACTGAATAGACTTCCGTGGTTTCTGGCATATCTGCACAATATGTGATTTTTGCTAAATCACATTAAGATATTGAGAATTAGAACTGAGACTGATCATAGTCATCATATTTGACATATTTTTCACCAAGTTTTATTGATTATAACTGGTGGAGTATAAGCTCCTACTATTTATCTATGTTTCCCCTACCATAAAATAGGCCACATACTGTCTGGCTTGGATGTAACTGACAGAACAACATTCAGGTTTTATACAGTATGCACTCATTTTCTAGCCAAACTAAAATCTTCTATTATCTACAGAGCATTGCTGTTTTCAAATGTAAATATGCACTAAACTCAGATCCCAAGTCTAGTGCAGATCCAATCATTGATATTGCAGTGTGATATAGCAGTG